TTATTAAACCCCCCCCCCCCCAAAAAAAAAATGGATCCACCGACGTAATCCAGGGTCAATCACGACGTCCATCGTCGACGAAATAAAAAATAAAACAATAAAAAATAAATAGAAATTATTTTTTTTTAAACCCGCCGTCCTGTCTGCTCCTACCGCATAATGGCATTTTGGCAGATGCCGGCAAAACATAAACAATTGGGCGGAGCTAGCAGTGACAGCTAGCTCCGCCCAATTGTGTAGTTTGCCGTCATGGGCGAGACATGATTGGGCAGAGTCATCATGACTTTGCTCAATCATGGCTCCAAATGAGTACTGAGTAATGAGTACTGAGTCCTGATTGGGCAAAGTCTTGGTCAGGTGCCAGACTTTAACCAATTAGAGCTTCAGAGGGCGCTTTGCCTCATGGGACGTTGCACGGTCGAACAGACCGCGAACATCACATAAAGTTTGGCGTTCGGCAAACGCTCGAACAGCCGATGTTCGTTTCGAAACCTGCGGACCATCCCTACTCACGAATAGCATTCGGGAGTTTCCGAATGCTATGTAGTATTTGACAGCTAAGAATGTCAAATGGGCGGAGCGAGTCGTGACGTCACGGCTCGCTCCGCCCATCTGTTTACTTTCAGGCAGGAGGGACTTTTTTATGTCGGCGGGTTGGCGGGCATCGTGTATCGTGATTGACGCTGGATTACATCGATGGAGCCATAAATTAGTCCTTTTATTGACTTTGAATTTTAACCCTTTAGTGAATGAGTAGGGGTACAAGTACACCTTACTCATTCACGAGGGGGGGTGGCATCTGGGTGCCCCTTCATTAAAGGGGTACCCTGATGCAAATAAGCCCCCTTGCCCACATAACCACCGGGTTAGGGTTGTGGGGAAGAGGCCCTTGTCCCCTTCGGCTTCGGGACACCCTCCCAATGCTGAGGGCACGTGGCCTGGTAAGGCGCATTTTAAAAAAAATATTTCTATTTATTTTTTGTTTTATTTTTTATTTAGTTGAGTCATCGTTGTCGTGGACAATGCTGGACGTCGTGATTGACCCTGGATTACATCTGTGGATCTATTTTTTGTTTTTTTTTAACAATGAAGGACTTGTCAAAATCCTTTGTTGTGGGTTTATTTTTTTTTAAATTAAAGGATTTTTTCTAAAAGTCTGTTTTTTTTCTGCTACCACTTATTCATTTACAAAGGGGGAGGACACATCTAGGTCCCCCTTTATTAAAGGGGTACCCTGATGTAAATAAGCCCCCAGCCCGCACCACCACAACCAACACCCCAAGGCTTGTGGAGAAGAGGCCCTTGTCCCCATCGGCACGGGGACAAGGTGCTTTTCCATCGGCGACCCTGGAAAAGCACCCTCCCAGTGCCAAGGGCACTACCCCCATAGACTTGCATTTGTGGTTCTAAGTTTGTGGTTCTAAGTTTGCATTCAAACTTTTTCCATGTTCGAAAGTTGGAATTAGAACTGAACACGGGGGTGTTGGGGATATAGACAGGCCTCAAGATTTCCAATCGCCCCTCGCAATTGGCAAGTGAAAATTGCGTGGGGGCGAGTGGATTGTCATCGAGGGGGTGCGCCGCCGGCGGGACCAGGAATGAGACACTACTGCTGCAGCAATTGCTGGCTTCTCTTCTCCTCCTAGACGCTGCAGCTACAGAGCGGCCGAGGAGGAGAAGAGAGAACAGAAGCAAACGATCGCCGCGGCAGTAGTGTGCCATCCCTAGTCCCGCCGGCGGCGCACCCCCTTGATGACATTCAGTTCCGCTGTCTTCTGCAGCTTCCTCCGCCCACCTCAGCTGGGAGGATGACTGCAGAGACACTGTTGGCCCGGCCAGAAAGTTATGCAGGGGAAAAGAAAGTTTTATCTGGGTACATGGAGGATCTCTGTACCGCTCCCCCCACCCCCACCTCCACCAGGAGAAAGAAGAGGGCACCTGAATACCATCAGCTAAGTGCACTGTAATTCCTTTTTCTTTCTTCCTTACACCGCTGACCTCTGCACTGCGCCTCACGCTGGCCTCTGCACTGCGCGTCACGCTGACCTCCGTACTGCGCATCACGATGACCTCCGCACTGCGCGTCACGCTGACCTCTGCACTGCGCGTCACGCTGACCTCTGCACTGCACCTCACGCTGACCTCTGCACTGCGCGTCACACTGACCTCTGCACTGCGCGTTACATTACTGGCCTCTGTACTGTATGTTACATTACTGACCTCTGTACTGCTGACCTCTGTACTGTGTGTCACACAGCTGGCCACTGTATTCGGCATTGCACCGACTTCTGTACTGTGCGTCACACCACTGACCTGGCGCAGTTAAGGTAGGGGTTAGGTGGGGCAACTGGTGGCGAGTAACTTTTAAGGCCTGGCTAATAGCTCAGGACTTGAAATTGTGAGCCCTTATATAGAGACCGTTGGAGGCTGAGTTTGCATGGCTGTAGCTCCTGGGTCTTGAATCTCTTCTTGGCCCCCAAACAGGCAGACAACTTGTCCAGACTTTTTGTCCTTGGCAGAGCATCAGAGGTGATATATGCAGTGTCTTACTACTGTTGTATAACTAACCACATACCCTACACCACACCCCTAATCAGAGAGACACAATGGCATTAAACTGTAACAATTGGGCTTTTTAGGTACACATATAAATATAAAAACAGAATGTTTATTAATTAACCATTAAAAAGCACATAACTAGAACATAACATGACCAAAATCCATTACAAAAGATAGACAGCGTAACGCACATACATCTATATACTGTATATATATGTTATGACAGAACCCAAGTTATACATTAAAGTCCAATATGTGTGCACACAGATAACAGTTTAGGTTCGGTAATCAAGCTGTTCTGTTTATTACAAGTGCTGGAAGTTTTCATAGGGTGAAAGGAACAGATACGTGTAAAATAGCATGGTAGAGACAGGTACTGGGATAGATATAGGGTTGCCACCCGTCCGGTTTTCAACCGGACAGTCCGGGTTTGGCGTCTTGTGTACGGGTGTCCAGCCAGCGGGCACCCGTACACAAGACACTCTGCTGACACCGGCACTTTAAATTTTCTCGCAGATGCGGCTGCGAGGTCCTTGGTAAGTGCGATCCACGGCAGCCGCATCTGCCTGAAACCGGATCTTCCTCTGAGCTGCGGGCAGCCTGTGTCTGTTTACAGGTGCCCGCAGCTCAGAGGAAGAGTCGGGTGGCAAATCGGCAGCAGCAATGCAGCGTCAGCCTGCAGAGACTCCCTGGAGGGCAGAGCACAGGATTCCAATACAGCAGCAATGGACGGCTGGCCCCGCCCACTAAGGGGATGCTGCCAGGATGAAGTCACATGGGTGATAGCCACGCCCCCTAGAGTGACAAGCCAACACACAGGAGATCCCAGGGTGCTGACAACTCTGCAGCGTTGTGGTATGTATACTGAAGAAATTCAAAACTTAAATGTCATCATCTGAGGACACATACACCTGTAGCACTTAAGATAGCAGTTGACATTTTGTGTAACTAAAGAACAGAAGCATACTCCCAAAATAGTACATTCCAAAGGAGTGGGCAAGGAAACATTACACAAGAATATTGGTTAGAAAATCCTCTAACCTACTTGGATACATAAAATGGCTGCCTTTAGACTCATCTTATCACAACAATGAGTCCACAAAGTTTGTAACCGCAGATAACTTGCGTTGTTGCCACAAGCCCTTTCCTGCTTATATGCGGTGTTGATGCTGCTCCTTGGTCCTCATAAATGGTCTGCACGCTTCATCCCACAGGGGGCTTCCTCAGGACCAGCACACCATATAAAAACTTGTATGTAAATCACTCATGTATCACCATAGAAAGAGAAGAGCCAACCAGAAAGACGTCTATGCCGAGGGCAACAGAGGGGAAAAACCCGCCAACACACCAGACTATCAACTCTCAATTCTTGATCATCAAGGGATGATGGCTAATAGGAGAATCACATTTCTGTAAGGTGAAGGTGGAATGAATCAATAAATGTTCCGTTTGTGACACGAGCTCCCACAGAGTCTTCTAGTTTGTTATGGTTTTATACCATTATGTCAATATCTTACTACTAAGGGAACTGCCTAACTCCTGAAGAAGCCCCCCAGCAGTGAAACGCGTTGAGTAATTTTGGAGAACGCCATCTTTAAATCATTGTCATCATATTCAATGAAGCCATCCACATATAAACCTTTTTGATCTCATGATAAGTGTATATGGTTGTACAACATTAGATTGAGAGTGCAATGTTATAAATACGAGCTTTGATTGCTTTTGGATGTAAACAGT